AGTCGGCGTTTTTCCTGTTCATTTGATGCACTTTCGGCCAAAGCTCGCAGCACTGGCTGTGAAAAGTTCGTTAATGACAACACTTCATTAGTAACAACTTACTCGTCCAGGAGTTCTTCTGATATCCAAACAGTGCGTAAACAGATGTCGAAGGGAGCTTTTCGGTAGAATGTGAGGCGGCAAGGTAGGGTTAAGCTTCTTTGTAGAGGGTATCAACGATACGGTGCATAGCTGATCAGCGATGGGAAGAACACCCATCCTGAAGCATGTATAATGATGTCGTGAATCATGGATACTTTTAATTCTTCTATTACCTGTGAAGAATGAAGTTTACTTCAGCTGCCGGATTCGGAAAGACAAAGTAGAATGCGTCACCAGGTTCATAAGGTAGCGTATCATAGTGCACTATAATAGAATATATTGCAAAAAAATAAGATAACAAATTGGATACCTCCCAAATCGATGACTAATTCATGCTTAGGTTTTTTAACATCGAAGTCCGTCAGAATCGCAGTTCCGATCACAGTAACATCATAAGGAGCACTAGCTGAAGAAGCAATCAAGTTGTGAAAAAAGAGGAAAATTTACGAAACCTCACCAACTCCAACCATTTTAGCTTCATTCTGCCAAGGAAGTCTGTGGTCAGATTTCAACCTTTCATGGGTCACAGATGTGACGAGATACTCTTGTGGAGGTACGGGTACACGTAGAGCAGCATCGCTGGACAGCTTTGAGTTGCCTAGAATAGGTAATATTGCATTAAGAAATCATGAAATCAAGTTACTTGCCTCTGATCAAAGATACTTCAGGATAATTGTATGGATTTGCTTTCAACATCGGTTCCAAAGGCTCCTCTATAAGGCTAAGACTCCTTGTATTATCAACCATTTCTTCCGTAGCTTTCTTTTCTGCCACGGTCGCATCCTTCTTTTCTGCTATTGCAATCTTCGAGGTTAATCTTGATAATACACTTTCGCTGAGACCATAACGCTTCACTAGTGCTTTGAAGAGTCGTTCTATCCACGGCTCAACTACCCGTTCAAGCCTGAAATTAGTCA